AAGTGTAGACATAAAAAATAGTAATAGAATTGACCAGTTTAAACATAAATATAAAGGTATGTGTCAATCAAGATATATGCAAGAACAGGCTCAATGATTAATTACATGGACAATTGTGGGTGTGGTGTACATTTTGTAATAATTCTTTAGTATATTACTTGTGTGATGTAAGAATGTTAACACTGTTATAATCTTTTTTTAGTATAATACGTGTGTGGGTAGAAGTGAATCATTTACTGCTTGCAAACCAATGATGGTAAGATGATGTCATGGGGTAGGACTGGATAAGTCTGACTTCTTCCTACTTCATTCAAGCATGTACTAGGTATAAGCAAATTGATATTGGATTATGTGTAAAATTATGTGTGTTGTCATATCAACTGTTTTTACATGCTTGAAAGAATAAATCAAATCAAATCAAACATTGACTTGTTGTCTGCTCAAACAAGGGTGACAGACATGAAGTGTCATGTCTCAGTTTGTTATGTGTAACTCTGTCTGTTGCAGAACTTACCAACAGGGATCTTAATCCTTCAGGACACAGAGCTCTGAGCTCTAAAATGAAAATCAAAACAAAACCTCAAAAGAACAGGGCACTTAAAGTCTCAACTAGGGACAAAAAAAAATCAAAAGTAAAATGTATTAAAATGGCAACCCATAAAGCATTTTCATGCTTCTTGGCGACACCTTGTGGCCCCATCATCAGAAGAAAAACCATGGCGCAGTGAAACTGTGGGTAATGTGAGTGTTCAGAAGCACAGCATTCAGTGTTTTCATGTTTAAGTGGGGACGCTTATGACTGATGGTGGGGAATGTGAGATTTAATGTGCTGTGTTTGTTTTAGAGAATTACCTGTGTTTCTGGATGTATAAGATGAGCTTCTGTAGTTGGTGGGCAACAAACCTGACTCTAATTAAACAGCAGCACAAACTATATCTTGTATGATACAGTACAATCAACACCTCTCTAAAAGTGTTTGAAAAAAGAATACTACAACATTTTATCAATGTAGGATTTGTATCAGGATGTTTGTATTAGGCTGACTTTGTTTCAGTTAGGTGTACCTATAAAATGAGTGTATATTTTAGGAGCAATACCTCTTTAAACAACAAAGGTTTCCTCCTCTAGATCTGCAGGAAACCAAAACCTCAGTCAGGGGGCAGAAAAAGATGCAATGGAGTCTTACAATGAAACAATAAACTGAGCAAAGCTAATAAGAGCAGCAGGGAAATGTCAGCAGTGTAACAAGGACAAGATGTGACAGATTCAGACAGACAAAAAAAACAAAACAACAAAATAAGGAAATAAAAGAGGAAGGACAAGAGAAAAGACAGGCAATTAAGGTTAATAAGGTTTGCTATGAGGAGTAAATGTACTTTGTTACTCTCGGTAGCAGTAACTGTCGGTACTGCAAACCTTGCGCAGTACCGACAGTTACTGTTACCGACAGTAACCTGCTAACCCTCCTGTGCACAGGAGGCCTCATAGCACAAGGTTTGCCTACAGTACCGACAGTAACAAAGTACTTACCAAAGCAATGGTAGAAGTACTCATATCCTTGACTTAAGTAAAAGTAACAATACTCAGTTAGAAGCAAACATCCTCCATTCATAAGAGATCCACACAGTTTCAAACACTACAATTTGCAATATACAAACCCAAAGACATATTAAATATTGTTTGAGCACAGGAGGCCTCATAGCACAGGACTTAAGGGGAGCTTGGAGGTGGCAGGGGATCAGGGGCCCCTTAATCTGGCCATGAGCGTTTCTCATGGCTTTCTGAATTTTTACAACCAAATTAAAATAAATAAAAAAATAACAATAATAATAATCTTCATCATCATAATTAGCTACATCTCCATATATTTAAAATGGTTAAAAATGATAGCGCACCCAACCTCTAGAGTCCCTGCGTCCTCATATGAGGACCGCACAGCTTGGGTTTCCAAAGCTCAGGACTCTAGAGGTTAAGTAACATTTTGAATGCAGGGTCTGAATAGTTCTCCACCACTGCACCCTATTAAAACATCCTGTTTATTTGTTTGTTTGTTTGTTTGTTTGTCTCTATATGACAACGGGGTCCTAAAATAAAATAACTATCACATACCTATCAACCTGTGCTTCTCCCAATATTTCGTGCACGTCTGTGGCTGTTTTGTTTACTGGGGTCAAGGTGGACTCAAACTTCCTAATTAACTTTGTACATCACGTGACCAACAGGTTATCTTGTTTCTAGTTGCGCTGAAGTCCTTTTGCGAAATTATGTTTCTGCGTTTGATGCTTAGAGCCGAATCTTAACGGAGCATGCTCCACTTCCCCGAACCGTGGGAGTGGAAAGGAAGGAGTGAGGAGAAAATAGAGGAGGGGAGAACATGAGCGAGAGGGAGGGGAGTGCAGAGAGAATGAGAAGCGGTGAGTGGGAACCCAGAAGGAAAACATTAGCTCCCGTCTCTTCTTGTAGTTGAGAGACTTTCAGGAGTGCTGGTGACGCGCACCTCTGACGGGACGTACGGTAAGAAGACGCACCATTGCTCGCCTTTTCTTGACCTTGGGGGCTCAGGGTGGGGACAGACTGATACGGGGACGGGTTTGGGGAAGAAAGGGAAGAGCTGGCGGAGAAAGGGAGACAGGCAGACGGGCGAACAGGAAGCTGTAGTGAGTAGGCGAGGGTTTCCTCGTCTGTGCTGCCCTCCAGGCATTCGTAAACTAAAAGTAACGGAAAGAATGAAAAGGAGACGGATAGTGATCAGTCAGTGTGGGAAAGCGAAAACCTCAGCTGTACTTCCCTCTTTACTTCTCAGAACCAAATTACACTCGTCCTATGTACTTGCACAACAAGTTTTTTTGTTTGTTCTCTTATACGTTGGTTAACAGAGCAGTTGAATGGATAAACTGATCCAAAACTTCTTAGAGGAAACATTTGTACCTAAACTGCACAAATGACTTTTTAAAGTAATTCCGGTGTGTTGTGCTGTTTTGTGATGCTGTTCAAGTGTACAGTGTCAAAACAAGGTTTCATTTTATGTCTCTGTGCTTAGTCATAAAGATAGCATTTGTGGTATAGAAGAAGATGACAGTAGTAATTATTAATAAAGGTGGTTTAGCACTGGTGTCAAAAACGAGAAATTACCATATCATCATGCTGTGGAACTCATTCATATCCTGTGCTGCAGATCACTTTTGTTAACTACAGGGGCGTAACAGAGACATCTGGGGTCCCTGAAATGCCTTATGTGTGTTTTTATTACCAGTTAATGTGTCAGTTGTCTCCTAAATTAACCCATCAGTCCTTCTTATGACTGCGACCATCAGTGTGTTCGTATTCGCAGTGCAATGCTTTGTGGAGTTGCCTGTGCACTCTGGCACTGTAGAGGGAAGGAAACACTGAATGACGACGAGAAAGAGGCGTTGTTGTGTTTGTGGCACCCTCTGCGGGTCTTACACTTCCCAGTTAAGGTGGGATTATTGCACCAGTTTTCTGTTACATTGTTCTGCAGCAATCACATTGTGGGAATTTGGTAAGAATTTCTGACACTATCAGCACAGTCTGACTTTGGCCCCCTAAATGTCAAAATCAGCTGTAGGTGGGGTATCCTTCAGGGAGATCTAGAACCACTGGTGGAAGAAGTACTGATTCTTTAAAATGATCAGTACCGCTGTGTAAAAATACTTTGTTACAAGTAAAAGTCCTGCATTCAAAAGGTTACTTAAGTAAAAGTACAAAAGTATTGGCATCAGATTATTCTCAGAGCACCAAAGGTAAAAGTGCTCACTATGCAGAATGGCATGTTTCACATTTATGCAGCTAATTGCAAAATGAGAATTGAATGTTGTGTATTTGTGTGGGTAGAAGTGAATCATTTACTGCTTGCAAACCAATGATGGTAAGATGATGTCATGGGGTAGGACTGGATAAGTCTGACTTCTTCCTACTCCATTCAAGCATGTACTATAGGTATAAGCAAATTGATATTGGATTATGTGTAAAATTATGTGTGTTGTCATATCAACTGTTTTTACATACTTGAAAGAATAAATCAAAATCAAATCAAATCAAATCAAATGTGGTCATAAATGGGATAATGTGTGCGCAAGTTGAAGAAGCAGGAGCAAAGTGAAGAGAGAAGTATTGCAGACAGAAGAACTGATGCAAACTAGACAAGAATGCTAAGATGTGAATTAGAAACTCCATCAAAACTGACACCAACAAGAGCTCAGAAAGGTTATTCTGTGAATGTAATGTCAGTCAATAATGCCCAGCTTCTCACAAATTAATCTAATGTGGGTCAAGTCTGCGTCACAACTTGGAGGTTGTCTGTTGTTAGGCTGATGTGACGCTGTGTCTGCCAGAGTGGCTGTGTCTTTATGGCACATGGAAAAGATCATTAAGCTGAAAAGGTCAATAAAAATGTCAGGGTTTGATCAGGTAAGATGAGCGGCTTTGTTGCCTGAGAGGTCGGGTGAATAATTCAGAGGTTGATTGTTGAAGGCTCTTGCTCAAAGCACCAATACTGTATTGTGCTCTTGTGTCATAACTGAATCTCGCTTTCCCATTCTTGCTTTGTTAGTGTCTGTCATCAGGGAGAAAAGGTCTGGGTATATAGTTCTAGTCATCCATGCATCAGAGTCACAAATCAGTTCTGTTTTTAATGTTCTTAAGGGCACCGTGCTCTCAACATGCAAGAATGTTTTTGCCCAGTGGTGGTATCAGCTTTGGTTAGGACTTGCTTTCTTTTTCAGATGTGACTCTGGGAGATATGAGAGAGTAAACTCACAGCCAGAACTACAGACACTGTCATTAATCAGTAACTCACAGGAACCTTGAAAAGAAGTCATCAGGTGCCAGTTTGACTGAGGCTGATTGAGTGGTCAGCCGAACATATTGAAATGTGAGAGGGGAGAAATTAAGCAAGCAGCAGTTGGGGCTGCGCGCTGGCTGCCGGTTTATTTGTTAGTTTGCACAGTAAATAATACATTTAGTATGAAAGATATATCTGCACAAAAACACCCACATATATACAAACACATTTGGACCTGCATGCACTCAGATATACACAAATACAAAGAATGTGTGCAGGAGAGCTATGAAGCTAAAACTCCTTAAAGCACACCACCACAGATCAAAGCCCTGTGCTCAGAACACAAATGTGTGATTTGTAGTGCACCTGTGGTTCCAAGTGTGGTCAGGTGAAATCCAGCTTTGCTCATTTCTATACTTAAGAAATGACCTAGATACAACTTTTAATGAGTTTAACGATGTATGTATTGTTTCTGTTTGCTTTTTCATAGGTCACTGCTTTCAGGGTTAAGTGCATTAGAAGTAGGTGATGAGGAGTTGATAATATCTTGTGTCCTGTGGTGGAGAATGGATGGTTATGTTCTTTCAGAACCTTTTTTGTCTCTAGGGCTGGGTGCTTTTTAAAAAACTTTGTTAGTGGTGATGATACCATGAGTTCCAGTACTACAGCTATACTTCAGATTGTGGATTATAAACTTTTTCTTTCTACACAAGCCTTTTTTTAATTTGACAAAACACTAAGTTTATTAATTAAGTTGTATTTTGATGATCATTTGTTAAGTAAAAATGATAAATTCTCTGGTTCAGTGTCTCAAATGTTATAATTACTAGTTGTATTAGTCTTTATAATACTGAATTGAATTTATCGGGGTTTTAATGTCTCCATGCCAGAAACAGCCTTGGCCAGAGGCTTTATGTTACTGGGTTGTCCGGGTTGGTGGAGGCCTACAACCATGAAGCGGTAATTCTAGTTTAGTGTTGGTTTGGCAAAAGAAGACATCTCAGTATATAAACCCACCAGTTGATCGGTTGATTGAGAAAATAACTGAATGAACTTTATTTAAAAATACTTGGCAAACTGGACTCTGATCAAGCATTGAGTGCCATATTTTGGTACGTGGCACGGTTTGAAGGTGGTACGTTCTTGCCCTGCCCTGCCTATCTGTTGTCAGAAGTTTTATCTTCTCATCAGATTGTGCCACCTTCTCAATGAGGCTGTGCGGAATCTCCGTGTAGGTAAACCCTGTGCTTCCTCTTTCAAGTGCTCACTTGTTGATATTTAGGACATAGTTTGGATTTGTCACCTCTTTTGGATACACAAGTAATTGCATATGGCACCAGGATTTCATGTAATTTGCTAATGAATTATTGTATTGTGTTGGACTGTGTGAGTAATGTGGAATCAGTCGATATGTTTTATTCAGGAACGAATGTCTGAGTAGCAGCTTAAAAGCTACCTGTTGGTCTAAAATCATTGTTTCAGAATTCCCCTGAGTTGGCTTAAAGCTCTGTTTTGTACAGAAGTTGCTGTTAGGGGTAATAGACAGAACTCTCTATTGCTGCTGCTTCCTCCAGTTGTTGAGTTACTGCAACAGATTGATTGGAGTGATATGTGAATACAGATATGTTGAAACAACACAAATGCCCAGTTTGCAGTGTTTGAATAATCGGCAGGTGCACTTTCCAGACAAGAAGGAGTTTTGCCTTTAAGGACAGAAACTTTGACCCAGTTGGAACTGTATGCTGAGTTTTGATTCTGTGTGTCTGTGCAACACTTGATCTCCTGCCTTCCCTGGATTGTTGATAAAATAATGATGAAGGTGAATTAAGTTTTTTTGTCCTTCTAGAGCTGCAACTAACTAACTAACTATTTTCATTACACGATTAATCTGCAGATTGTTTTCTGGCGTAATCTATAAAGCATCAGAAAATAGTGAAAATGCTACTCACATATTTTCTAGAGCTCAAAGTGGCATTGTTAAATTTCTTATTTTGTCTGGCCAACAGTTCCAAAGTCAAATATATTCAGTCTGCTACAATGAAAGACAAAGAGAAGAAGCCAGTTGTCTCTCAGAAGCATCAAATGTGTTGCACTTTGCTTTGAAAATACCTCAGTGAATAAAAAACTTTAATGATTATAAAAGGAGTTGCAGATTAATTAATTAATGGACTAATTGTGCAGCTGTAGTTTGGTGGAGGCTGTATTCCTTAGAGTTGAGAGGGTCTGAAACATGCACTGTATATTGTAGCTATTATTAACTAGCAGCCTGATAAGACAAGGGCAGAAGCTGTTGATAGAGATGCAACAGAAAATGAAGGCTGGTGGACGGTGGGAAGCTGAGCACTCCTGAAAGTCCAAACTAAGACTTTGTACTTCAGGATTTCTTCTGAAATTCAAATTAACAAAGTTCTTCATAGAATAAATCTGCAAGGTTTCTGTAAGTTTCACGAATGGCCCGAGAAGTCATTAAAATTTACTTAAACTTCTGTTTATTCTGAGACCAGCAGCCACGAAGAGCCTCTCTGCTATAGCCACTTTTATATGTTATCATACCCTCTCGTCTTATCTCAGAAACATAAAACTGCAGACTCTTTCC